CCCTGGTGATTAGGGATGCTGAGCATCTTCCATGTACTTCTTGGCCGCCTGTGTGTCTTCTTTGGAGAAGCGTGCAGTGCTCCGAGATGCCAGGATACCGTCTGTCCCCACGTGGGGCAGAACTGTCCCTGTAGCTGCTTCGGTGGCGACCACTAAGCTCACAAATGCTCGGAGAGAGCGGGACTGCCATACAGTCGCGTCCACACAGGTGAAGTGCTGAACCGGGCTGGTAAAAGAAGCGGTGATAACCCAAACTACAGTGAAACATTGGATTTTTCTACCAAATTGGCAATGGTTAAAACAAAAAGAGTTCCAGGTGTCAGAGAGGATTCGGGGAAACAGGCCCTCTCATGTGTGGATTGGTGTAACTTGACTTTCATTTGATGCAAACTTGAGTTGATCCCAAAGAAAGAGTGAGACAGAAGTGCGAAAATGTTAGAAATCACAGCCTTATGTAGAATATTGAAACCAGTCGTAGGGGGCTGATGATATAAATTATATCTGTACTAAGAAATGGCATACCACTTAAAAATAACGTTCAAGGAGACGTAGACTTGGGGCAGCATTTATGGTATGTTATTAAGTGATTTAAAGAAGGCTTGTTAGTACATATGGCATGACGTGTTTTGCCATTTAAAAAGCATTCACTTTTTCCCTAGGTAGTAAATTCACTTGATTCAAAAATGAAAAAGTACAGACATGTTTACAAGGAACAGCCTATTTCCTACTCCTTCCATCTTTCTACTTTCCCCACCAAAACCATCACCAGCAACAGACAATACCGTTAGTAGTTTCTTATGTATCATTCCAGATTATTTGTTATATATCTATAGTAAGTACAAATGTACAAATATGTATCCTTTTTCCTTTCCCCTTTTGGACAAATGGTAGCTTGCTATATACATTGCTTTACACTTTAATTTTTCATTTCAGTGTATAAAACTTATCCTTATTCTTTTTAAAAAAAGCTGTATAGTGAGTGTTCCATTGTATGGATGTTACATAATTTAAGTAGCCCTACTACTGGGCATTTATGCTGTTTCCTTTTTTTTTTTTTTAACCTAGTACAAATAGGGCTGTAATATGCTATACATGTCATTTCACCCACTGTGCAAATATATCTATAGGACAAATTCCTGGAGGTGGAATTACTGAGTCCAATGTTACATACATTTTCATCAATCGTGGTCAACTGCCCTCGGAAAATCGGACTTAAAGCCCAATTTAAGGTTTCCTCCGCCGCGGGCTGGCAAGGACCTACTCTCTACCCCTGCCCGGTCCCCTAACAAAGGTGGCCCCATCAGACCTGGGTTTTTGCCAGTCGGATGAGTATTTCAGTGCAGTATTCATTTGCATTGCTTTGGGTTTAAAGTTGAGCCTCTTTTCAAATGTTTACAGACCATTTGGATTGTTTTTCTTTGAACTCCATGCCATTTCAGTTGTAAACACTCGTCCTGTATTCACTCATTCACCATGTAAATACCTCCTACACACCGACTGTGCTGGGCTGTGTGGAAGCTACTGCTGTAGGCCAGGGAGTGACGTGAGAGACTGGGCCTCTGCTCCCCGAGAACGTGCCATCGGGGGGAGGAGAGGAATTTTCGGCTAAACACTGAAATCCTTATGGAAAACTTACATGCGTGTATGTATCTGTGTGTCCACATAGCGTGTAACTTGTACACGGAAGGATACTTGGCTATGTACTGAAGTTAACAGGGTAAACTCAGTTCTTTGAGTAGAAGTGATTTCTTTTCCTTTTGTGTTTTTCTATATTTTTCAAACGTTTTGTAATGTACACAGGTTGTGTTTGCATTTAGGTGGCTTATTTTCTCCTTTGTTCATCTTCTGAATTTTCAAAGTTCTTTTGTAAGGAACACATATGACTTGCATTTAGGAAAAAGAAATACGTGGCCTGATAACATGAGACATAGGTTTACATGTATTTTAGGCATAAAACACACAGGAGAACAATGTTCTTTCTCTATGGTAATGATGAGTTTGAAGAGGAAGATGTAGAAATCCATTTTCAGAGCTCATACGTGGTTGGCCAGCGTTCTAGGACTTCCCGACCCAGATTCCAGTGCAGACCTACACTCACCAGAAAAACTGAGCACTTGTCTTCTCGGCTGGGCAACCTCATCTGCATCCAGCAAAACAGGAACTGAGCAGTTTATTAGTTCTGGAAATCTGGCCCCAGGGCCCAGGGCTGGAAGTTCCCTTTTCAGGCGCCAGCTTCAGGCTCCGTTTGCCGAAGGGCGACCCCTGTTGGTGGGATTTAAAGATGCTCATGATTTGTGAGTCCTAAGATTGTGAAGTCTGACTGACTGCTGGCAGCCTTGGAGCCCACAGCCCACTGGCTCCTCACCCCAGCTGCGCCAGGCTTCCGTCTTCTCAGACTGTCCTTGCCTGCTGTTGTCCTGGGAAAACCAGGTCTGGAGGCCTGGAGGATGGGGTAAGAGGTGGCCAGCCTTTCAGACGTCACAGGCTGTGATGGGGCAGGGGGTTGGCTGTGCTGGCCAAGGTGTTGTGCTGACTCTCGCTCTGTGGGACAGACTTGATCCTGCCAGCTGACCTTGGAAATGCAGGACTCGGACAGCTTGTGGGAACTAAGTAGCCATCCTATGGCACAAGGATGTGGAGGAGGGGGCTGTGCCCCATCCGAGGGGGGCTCACTGGAGGCAGTACACGTGGAGGAAGGGCAGGCTTTCTGGGTGGTGTCACGCCATTTACGAGCATGTCCCCTCTACCTGGACACTCTCCCCTGGATATTCTGACAAGAACCAGAAAACCAAGACAGCCTTTCTCGACCAGCCCCTGGATCTGCATTTATAAGAGCAGGACTTTGGATGGAGGAGGTACGGGTAGTAATTCTGCCAGAGTAACGTTGCCAACACTCATCCACAAAAGAATTACCAGGCGCAGCCCGTCCATCACTGGGTGCTGAGTGGAATTGCCGCGTGGGGCCCTGGCTGAGGAATCTGGCTGTAGACACGTGGAGCCTGTCTGTAATTCATCAGCATTGCTCTTTTCCCAGGGGCACTGCTCTGCGATAAGGAGGCCGGACAGTGCAGGAATGTGCCTGGCTCTGGGAAAGCATGACAGAGCACTCCTCAGAGCTCATCACCAGACTAGAATCTCCTGGTCGTGTTTCGTCTCCCGATGCCGGTGGAGCAGGCCTCTCACCAGGCAGCGCAGGCCCTGCAGGCCTCACATCTGCCCAAGGGAGAGGGGTCCCACGCGTGGCTCTCGCCGCTCCGAGCAAGGCTGTTTCAGGCCTGACCCTTCTCCACTGGGCCAGGGTCTCAGCATCCCTCAACTGTTCGTGGGTTCTGGTGTCTGGGGGCTCCAGCTTAAGAAAGGAGGGAACCAGGAGCCGTGGCATGAGTAGGGGGCCCTTGTCTCCACCTAAACTTGCTGGAAAGGAAAGCCGGGGAGAGAGGCCTGCCATAGCACGCAGCTGCTTCCCTCCTGAGAAGTCATGGGAGGGCTGAGAATCCTGGGAACTGACTCGAGCGAGCTTTCCGGCCGAGGCCTGGAGCGAGGCCTGGGGCTGCCCTCACTGAGCCAGGTAATCAAGGCTCTCCCAGCCCAGAAGACATGAACACAGACTGGCAGCTTTTGTCTGACTACAGCGGGGCCCCCGGGCCCCCACGCCCAGATGTAGATTCTTGGAGCTGGTGTGTGCTGCCCAGAATGAGGACCTTCCCTGTAGGGTGGGTCCTCACAGGGCACTGGCTGGAAAGAAGGAAGAAAGGTATATTCTAGGGAGACTCCACTTAGCCGGGTGAGGGGCCTGAGATGTAAGCTCCAAAGAAGTGGAGGGATGGAGAACTGGTATCAAAGCTTTTCACAAACAACCAGCAAACAGAGAGGGGGAGCAGATGGCCCTGGGGTGCACAGCAAGTTAGTGGCAGAGTTGAGGAGACTCCAGGTGTCCTGAGCACCTGTCCTGTTTTCCTCGGCAGGGTATATCTAGAGCAGTCACACCCTCTTTGACCCTTGAGGACTGTGCTCTGTTCAGTTAAAGGGGCACAGATGGGAAAGGACGCTGATTTACTGAGCACCTGCTATGCATTAGGTCACCTTACTATCGCAACCCCTTGAATCCTTTCTTCAGTCTGGCCGGGCAGCATCACAGAACTGGCTCTCCTGGTGAGAAAACTGAAGAGGCCCAGAGATGTCAGGAGGCTCGTCCGCAGTCACATAACTGCCATGGCTGAGGTCTTTGACTGAAAGCCGACCACCTGCTTCTCAGAGGGACTGCGAGGTCCCTGCAGCCGGGCCTCTTTCTAAGGCCACTCTTTCCTGAGAAGTTAGAAAAAGAGGGTGAGACTGAAGAGCCCCGATTCCGTGTCAGACGCAGGACCTGCTTCTCTCCGGTGGCCGCATCCTCTAGGAAGCCACCTGGCCCGCTTGGCGTTTAATACCCGCACCTGGGAGGCCCTAACCCTGGAGCGCGCGGACGCTCTGCGGACAGCGCGCTGTGGCCGCTTCCCCGAGTCCGGGTCTCCAGCGCCCTCACGCGGCGGCTGTGGCGCCTTCTCCGCACGTCGCGCTCCGCGGGTCTGTGGCTCCCCCAGCGGCCGCCAGAGCCTGCCTGGCTCCGGCCGGGGCGCAAGCCCCCGCCCCTCTTGGGCAGGCGGGAGCTCCGGCGGGGGCGGGTCGGTGCCTGGGCGTCAGGGACCCGGGCGGGGAGGAGCCAGCGGCGCTGCCTCCAGAGCGGCAGCTATAAAGCCGTGAGCTGGCGGGCGGTGGGGAGCGCGAGCGGAGCGCAGCGCCCAGAGGTCCCGCTGAGCCTGGCGACTCAAGCTGGGCGCAGAGAGCGCAGGCCGGGCCTGAACCCCCGTCTCCCAGAGAAACCACCACTCGCCTGCCCACGTCAGGGAGCTCGCGGGCCCGCCGGTTTGCTGTGAGGCGCGCCGGCCACTGCGCTCCTGGCCCGCCATCTGTGGCACCGCTTCGGCTGCCGACTGGGAGGTAAGGGGGCCGGCCGTGCGCGCCGGGCTGCGCGGACTGCCCAGCCTCGGAGGGGAGGGAAGACCGGTGGCCCGGCGCCTCCACGCGTCACGGGGAAAACGTGAGCCGGCATCCGCTTCTGCTTGTCCACTCTGTGCTGTGCAGTCCGCCTCTGTCCTTCTGTCTGTCTGCCGGTCCATGCATCTGTTGATGGACACGTGCCCCTGTCACTGTCCTCTGTGAGATTTCTCTGAGATCCTGTGATCCTTTGCAAGCGTCAGGTGCCAGGGTCGCCTGTGTCCCCGAGCGCCCCAGCCGGAGGCAGGTCCCTGCTTTCTATAGAGTCTCCCCTCCCCCTTCTGAATGGCTGGGGGGACTGCGTCCTGGGCAGCGTCCTCCGAGGGACTGCTCCCGGGGTCAGGCTGTGGAGTCCAGCGGGCAGGGAGCCGCTCACACTGTGTACCAGTGGGCGTGCACCTGGCAACAGGTCTGCGCCCTGCTGCTTGGTCTCAGCACGGTATCCTCTCTGCTCCCCGCTCCGCCTCTTGATGCTGGCGCGCTCCCGGACAGTGCTGGGCACCCAGCGTGGTGCTGGCACGAGACCGGTCGAGGCAATTGAACGTTAGGTGACATGAGGGCCCCTGCGGAGGTTTACACTGAGATTCCAAACCCGGCACCACTGGAAGAGGATTCGGTGGTCCCTGGCGAGGGACGTCGGCCCCAAGAAGGGTCAAATTAGTCTGGGAGGAAAGGCAGGGATCTGGCCAGGTCTCCAGCTCGCTGCTCTGGGAATGAGGGCCAGAGACACTCTGGATCGGACCCGGCAGGACGCATGTGCTGTTGAGAAAGGAGCTCAGTGCGCCGAGGTCCTCAACCGCAGACTCGCTCTCAGCGCCCTCAGCGACCGCCGCCGTTCCCCAAGGGTCCAGCACTATGGCCGTCGCAGGCACGGCGCCAGCAGCCGGGTTTGAGGTCCTGACTCCTGCTCCGTGCAGCCAAGGCTGCCCACAGGTGAGAACTCCCTTTTAAACGAACCTTTTGATGTGTGAGCCAGTGCCTGGCTGCAGCCCCATCCCGGCGATGGTGAGCCTGGAGCAAGTCTCTCCATTCCAGAGGTCTGGGGAGAGCTCCCGGGCGCGCCCGGGGGCGGGGAGCCGGCGGCTCTGCGTGCCCAGGCGCCGCGCCACCATGGACAGCTCCCAGCCGCTTCCTCCACGCCGGGCCTGTGGCCCTGGGTCTGGGTCTCGAGGAAGTCGTGCGCTTCCCTGCCAGGCTCGGCGATGGGGCAGGAGGCAGGAGGAGCGGGGCCTCTGTTTTGCGGGAGCCCCTGAATCCTGTCCCAAGGCGGCGTGAACCACTCGGGAGGATAAAGAGAGCGTGCGGCTTGTGACCGGGTCCTAACTCAGCCCGCAGCTGTGCTCTGTACAGGATCTCCAGTGTGGAGCCCCTCAGAGCATCTGACAGAGGCAGCGATGCTGCCAGACCTACCTAGGGACCCCGCTCATCACCGTGCTCTGTGTGTAGCCTAGGGTTGTGTTCCGTTTTATTAAATTATTTAGTAAATGAGGTATTGGGAGGACATATTAGGTTCACAGTTACAGTGACAGAAGAAGAATCAAACAGAACAAGTTTATGGAGAAAGTGTTTGATTGCCTTTGCAAAACGCTGTTCCCTGATCCCAATTGTTTTCTCCAAGATGCTTAACACTTAAAGAAGCTTCCAGTGGTTCCCCTTCAGCCCAGTAGATGATTTTTCTATTTGGTTGCTTGGAAACGGGTGGGAGAACCCGTAGGGGTTAATCTGTGCAAATTAAATTTATCAGTCCCTATCCTGATAAGAAATGACGTTGGCTGGGGTTCTTCTTTTTGTCATCTCCACCTATGCAGAAATGTGAATCTTCCTTCATTTTAAAAAGTGCAAGAAACTCAGGTCTGCTTCGGTTTGTGACAGATGATGGTCCATGGAGTGTAAAGATAATCAAGCTTTAAAAAAAAATTTTTTTTAGACAGTACTTGTGACTTTTTGAAAGTCACTTAAGCTGTGTGCCTGTTTGCTCATCTGTAAGCTGGGGACAACACACTCTAACTTGCTGAGTTGCTAATGAGACTTAAATGGCACAATTAAAGCACTTAGTCCAGTGCTGAGCTCAGAGAAAGCTCTTAGCATGGTAGTGATTACAGGTGTATTTTAAAGACAGTTGTGCGTTTCTCTTATGTTCTCCAGCCCTCTGCTCTCTCTCCTAACCTAGTAATTGTTTCATAGGGACTCCATCTCCGGTTTATTTTCACGAAAGACCTTGATGGAACCGATAAAAAGAGCTGAAGTTGATCAAAATGCCAAAATGAAATCTAATTCATAGATAAATGGAAGAATTTTTGTGTGAGATGAATCAGTCGCCTGTTTTTCCTACCCGCACCACTTGGAGGCACGATAAAGTAAGTCATTTTCAAAACATCCTCACGGCCCTCTGGTTCAGATGATCACTTCTTTCTGATCCTTGTCTTAGAAGAATGCAGGATCTGCCAAGGGGCCTCCTTGGCCTGCTGGGGGTGAGGTTCTCCTGGGTGTCTGTCCGTGGGGAGTGGCCCTGTGACCCCCTTCTGGATGACGGCAGGATGCAGTGCAGGTTCGCTGCCCTAGGCAGCGCCTTGTCTGGGAACCCACACGTGGTCATTCCCATCCAGGAAGCATGTTCCTTCCTTTGTGTTTAAGCTTTGCTTCGCAGTGAGATCCTGACCAAGACACTTGCTCTGCCTGGAGCACTGGCCACCTCCTTGGTCCCCGCTGGATTAAAACATTCCTTTCAGCTCCCCCTTTGGGGTTCTGTCTGATAGAAGTCACAAGTATGTGACACGCCACAAAAGTTTGGGTAATGGAGTCATAATGGGCCCGGTCTTACAGTTAGATTTATTTTCCTCCACCAAAAGTGTGTGTGTGTGTTTTTGTGTGTGTAAGTTTCATATTCTGGTGCGAGATTTTTCTTTTTTTTTTTTCTTTAGAAGATCAGAAGTAATCTTAGCTCCCTCCATCTGAAAGGAGTGAAGCCACAGGATGCAGTCCACAGGTGCTGGGAATCTCTGCAACTTATCTACCCAGCGATGTGAACAGCAGGAGGCTGCGGGCCCTGGCTGACCTGGAAGTCCTGGCGTCTTTTCTGGACCCCGTGCAGCTTCTGGTTTCTGGTAGGACCAGAGTTAAACTACACAACACTCTTTCAGTGCAGGGCCCTGAGGGGAGGAGCTGGCACGGTCTGGTGGTGTCCTGTCTGCAGCAGCAGTGTCTGAGTTGCCAGGACAGACAGATCAAATGGCAGGAGTGGCCTTCAGTGGGGAAGGCTGGTGGGACGCACAGTGTGAATTCAGTTACTCTCAGCCTCCTTTGAAGCCCCTGCTTAAGCGACCCCCATTCAGTGCCTTCTGTGGCCCTGGCAGAGCAGCACAATCAATAGGATAAGTGCATTTTGCATTGGCAGTTACAGCTATGCAAGCATGGAGATTGGGTTCCCAAGGGGTAGGTACAATGCCGTGTCGTAGGTTGCAGCCACAGATCCCATTTTCACGAGCAACGTGGGCTGCACCTCTCTTTCCACGTGATGGCGGATAGAGCCTGGCACGTGGCAACTTTATTAAATTGGGTGGGACTATGGTGGCTATCATAGTGACTCTTACTAACGTCTGCATTTCTTTGCCCCAAGCCACTCTTTCTAGAGGTCATCCTAGCTTCTCATAGGCGCCCCAATCCTTTCCTTTTCCTCCGTCTGCCCTGGTGCCAGGCTTTGTTCGAATGTGGCTCTTCAGAAGGGAGGCCGCATGCAGAGAAATGTCATCAAATATACATTTGCTTTCTGCTTAGTTCCCTTGGTGCCAGGAAACACACTTCCCCACCCAGCGGGAGAAGAGCTGCCACTCCCCTCTGCCCATTATTTTCCAGGGCCCATTTGTAGGCTCAGCTTGGCTCCAGGAATGCAAGTCCATCCTTCCCTACCCACCCCCAGCAGGTGAGGGAGTCCTCAGGGGCATGAGCTGGGGGCCTGCCCCACTGGCACTCACTCAGAGCAGGTCTCCCTCCAGCTCCGGACAGGCCGGCTCGCGGCACCGGGAAACTGCTGAGGTGTTGTGTTTGAGTTTTCTCGATGGCAGCCACGGTGTGGGCTCAGATATGACTTGGGCTTAAAGTGCTTTGACCAGACAACTGCTTTTGAAAACCCCGTGTGTTTCTTTTTCTCGGCTGTCTGTAGGAGACCTTAGCCATTCGGCATTTTCTGTTACAGGGAAGGCACGTCTAGTAGCTGGTCCTCTTGGCATGGAAAGTATCTGTGTCAGAAAGCTGCCTCCCCTGTTTCTAGACACCACAGGGGGGCAGGAGGGCTGCAGGAGGGCCTTTTGGGGGGTCACAGAGGAGCTTAAAATGCAGGTTCTTAATGGGCTGGGCTGGGGCGGGGCCTGAGCGCCTGTATTTCTAACAAGGTCCCAGGTGATGCTGCTTGTCCTCAGAACTCGGTACAGCATTGCTGAGTTGCTGTGATTCTAACGCAAGTCTTTTTGGTGTCATTTAAGTCAGTTTCTGGTGTCCGAGTTGATGGGGCCCAGCTGGCCAGCGTCCTCTCAGTGACCTTGTAATGACCCTTCAAATTCTTGGAGGTCATTATTGTCGCTCCTAAGCTGTCTTATCAGTAGACGAAATATCTGGAACTCCTTTGAGTTTCCCTTTTTCCTGTCATAATAAATTTTCCAAAGCTCTCTGGACCGAGTTACTTTTAAGTGTAAGACCATTGTGCAAATGGCAACTTATCTTTGCTTGGCAGAGGCGTTTGACTGCAATTTCGGTGGTATTAAGAGATCTCTTGGGGATTTCATCTTGCTCTGCTTCCAGACACAGGGAATGCATGTTTACATTCAAACAACTTGACTTGGCTCTAAAGACCACAACTTTTCTTTCTAAACCTGAAAATGAAATTGAAAGCTCTGCAATGTCCCTCCACTTACCTCCCTGTGGCATTCCTGTGGGGAGGAGCTGGTCACCCCAGATGCAGGTGTGCGATGGCGTCGTGTCACCCACTGTCGCACCCGGAAGCAGAAGAGAAATTGAAGACAGTGTTTCGATCACCTGCATGGTGTTTGCCCTGGGGGAGGCAGAACCGAATGGTCCCTGCCCTCCAGAGCTAACAGTAAGTCAGAAGTTGCCGTGCTGTGTCGTGGGGACCAAGACAGGGTCAGGAGGGGTGGTGGTCAGGGGGAGGGGAGTCAGGACATCCCGAAAAGTGTCCCTAAGAGGGGCGGACGTGCATGTGTTTGGAAGGATTAGCAGTTTTCAGGACTTTTCTGGTGAGGCAGAGGTGGGGTGTGGGGCGTGAAGTTCAGAAGGCACCCTACATGGACAGGCCTCAGCTGCTCGCCTCCTGCAACCTCTGGTGTGCAGAGCTTCTTACCTCCTTTAGGGGCATAAGCTCCCTCACCAGCCAGACCTTGGGCTGCACCTGGCAGAAGGGAGAGTCCTTCTGAGCAGCTCTAGGCCTCTTGGACCAGTAGTTTAAAATTACTTTAACCATAAAACGTTTTTTTGTTCCAACAAAATCTTACTAAACCCAATTTACAGACCAGATAAAAAGTGGCTGGGCCGAGAGCAGGGGCTTAGCTTTTGTCTGAGGCTCCCCAAGGATTGCAAGAAGCTCTGTGGGTTCCAGGGAGCAGCTTGAAAACCTGTGTTCTGGATCATTTTAGTTGGCTTTTGGCAGTCAGACAAATAGTCCCACCTTGGTTTTATTGTGGTTTGTCTTGCTGTGTCTTCTTTAATATTCTGGGTGTCTTGCTGGTTTTCGAGTCAACAATTTTCAATGAAATGAAACCAGAAGTATTCTGTGTGTGTGACAATCTAACAAATATGGGGTTCATGGGTGGCCTGTGGGAAAGGACCTGTGACAGGTGCTGGTTCAGAAAACTGTAGCTGACCACCAAAGGAGAAAAACTGAGCTATGAGCTTGCAAAAATGGGCTTTTTATTTTCAACCTGGTTCGTCAATTTTGTCTAATCTCCTAAGATTTTTCAGATTCTGTAAAAGCTCGCAAGAAAAGAAAGAGCTTATTGCCAGGGTATAAGACTTGACAGACTCCACCAGGATCCTGCATCCCTTTTCTGGGATGTAGAGTAGCCAAACTGGAGGGCAGATGTGTTTGAAAGTGGGGTTTGAAGTGGAACTCTAAGCCAGATGTGTGAGAAGGGAAAGGTTGGCTGGCCCGGGATGAAGCTGGGGGCTTCCAGTTAAGGGGTGGCTCCTCTGCCTCTTACCAAGCTCTCCTAAAGGAGGAAGTTGATAGTGGAAGGGGCAACGCCTGAAGAGGCCTCACCCCTCACTGCCGGGTGGTCCCAGTCCTTAGAAAGGGACCTGAAGACCCTCTGGGCACAGACAGCTCTGAACCATCATCATGTGACTGATTTAAGGTGATGAAAGTTAGGCACGTTCAGTCTCAAGAATGTCGAGAACACCCTCAGCTCTGGAGGAACTCCCCTGGACATGGGAGGAATCCTGAGAGAGCAAAGGGACAGGAGATTTCCCTATCGGGGATGACTGGATGCTGGTAGGTGGTCAGCATCTCACTATCTGGGGGTCTTTGCATCAGCCCCCATCGCCATAGACACTGAAACACTCTGAACTTGGGGCTTGACTTCCAAACCCTGGGGATTCAGCCTCTCCCTGCTTCCTAGGGCTGGACTCAGGCTGGCTCTGAGGTCACCCTGACCTCTTGGCACAGGTGACGAAAGACACTGGTTTCCTGGATTCCACAGCACCGTAGGGAGTGGCCAGTTGTGGCCCTGAGCTGTCCATTTGGGCACAGTGGCTGCTGCCTAGCTCTCACAGCGCTGCAAGCCTTCCTTCCCTTGTCCCCCCCGACGGGGTTATGGTGTCTGCAGGTGGGCAGTAAGGACATGATGCTCTCAGGTGCAGAGCTGGTACAGGATGGCCCCTTGGGTGTCTGCCTCACTCCCAGCCCAGCGCATCACTCATCTGCCTCTTTCCAGGGCTCCTGTCCTGCTGTGTGGTGGGGTCACTTACTCCCAGCTTAGTCTCCTGGGACCCCCACGTCCTGGGTCTCCAGAACCTCCCAGGCTGGCAGTGGGTGTGCGGAGCTGCCTCTTTCCTGTAAAGAACAACAGGGATGAAGCTCGAGAGGAGTGAGTAGGGGAGCAGATTTGGGAAACCATTAAGGAATTAAACAAACACACTGGTGGTTTATGACAAGCCTATTTCAAAGCTGACTGTGTTACAGTCACTGAGTAATTCACTCGTGTGCTAATTTTCCAAAGGTTTGGGTTCAGGAAAACCTCAGACATTGCGGCTAAGTACTTTTCCTTTCCTTTAAAAATTATGTTTATTTTCGGAGGAATTCAATCCATATGTTTCAGATCCATTTCCATGTTACTCAGCGAAAGGTTGTTTTTCTCCAGCATTGCTAAGCCATTACTTTCTCTCCCCCTCTGCAGCCGCCCCCAAGCTTTGCCCACCTGGTGCTCACAGCTGAGCCCCGACTCGTGGCTGAGTGGCTGACAGCCTTTTAGCAGGCCCAGTAAATACAGTCCCTGGAGGCAAAAGGACGCATCGGTAATACTGATCCTGTCTTTATTTCAAATGTTGATATTTGGTTCAGAATGGATTTTTTGCATGAATTTCGGTTTTTAACTATTGCATCACAATGTTAATTACATTGATGGCTGGGTTTTTTGTGCCCTCTGAAATTTCGCACCCTTGCCTCACCCTGTTGACCGCCCCCTCCAGGGCTCAGTCTGGTCGGAATGAGCTGGTTTCCTTAGCAGTGGAGCCGTCCTGCCCTTGTCTTTTCAGGTAGAGCCATCCATGGCAGAGACAGGCAAACCCACGTGTGCTGCCGCTGAAGCTGCCTCTGGCTCTTACCCTAACTGGATTTCAACCGGGGTGTAGCCCCTTAGGGACAGTGGAGACGCGAGCCTGAGTTCTGTCCACACTGCCCCGTGGCCTGAAGCCGGACTCTTCCCTTCTCCTGGCTTCCCTTCCTTTGTGGCGAGGGAAGGAACTGCGGGGTTCCATAGGAGAATGGTCTGCTAATTCTGCTGGGTGGATGTGTCACTCTGTCTGTGACTTCTTAAGAAAGCACTGAGTTAATCAGATTTCCCAATCCAGTTCCTGGTAGCAAAAGAGAAAGCAGTTGTAG